AATTTGATTTACAATTATCAATTATTATAGGTTATCGGTTAATGCACAGAGATAAAAAAGCTGCACTCGTTCGTTGGGGGCAATTACTACATCAGGTAATCTTTGACTATTTGTTAAGGCATTTTTAATTTATTTAGAGAAGTTTGACACTTTTTTATTAAATTTGTGGGTATTAGAGGATTCACTTAATTGTATTCTTAGTTTCGTTTTACTATTGTGAGAATTCATGATATAACAAACAATTAGATGATCCAATGAACTATTTGATATGTAATAAGATAAGACAAATATGCTAATTAGGGGGTGGTTGTTGTGTTTTGCTACAAAAATCTCAATTCCATGTCTAACTCAACAAATAAATAAGTCAAATTGCTAAAATAAATGAATATGCTTTTACAAAAATAACTAAACTAATATGTAACAATTTGAAGACCATAATTTATATAGCAATTATAATTTATGTATCTGTGTCATCACTTACTATATAATTCTTTTTCACTCTTTACTCTACATTGCATGCTTTACTTGAATAGTAATTCTTGTTTATCAATTATTATTGTTAGTGCAACTTGTCAATAAATTACACATACCTAATTTAGTAAAAGGTATATATCTATGTCATCACTTACTATATGATTCTTTTTCACCCCTTACTCTACATTGCATTTCCTTTTTTTTTTTCTTTTTTTTTTTAAATTTAGGTAAATGACATAGGACCACTTACCTATTGAATATTAGTGTACATAGTGATTCTTTTTTTTTTAAATTTAGTTAAATGACATAGGACCACTTACCTATTGAATATTAGTGTACATAGTGATAAAGGAATTTCACATAACATTGGCTTTGTAGGTGACCAAACATGGACAAGAGTTGGATGTTACTTAAGAATAGAATGAGTTCCCAGTATCGAGATGGGGTAAAGGCTTTTGTTCAGTTCGCAATGTTAAATGTAGGGCCATATGGTAAGATTTGTTGCCCTTGTATGGACTGTTTGAATTGTGAACAACACACTAGTAAAATTGTGGAGTATCATTTGGTCGTGAAAGGAATGTCCCCTTCTTATAAGACTTGGGTGCATCACGGGGAATCTGTTCCCATGAATGAATCTCATGCATTGAATGATGACGACCACAATGACTTTGGAAGTGTTGGGGACAGAATGGAAGAAGATATAGACAGAGATCAAGATGAATTCCTAAATTTGTTAGAAGATGTTTACATGGGGACTATCATGAATGATAATGAAAATGAGGGGGATGAAGAAGACGATGATGATGATGTGGCTAACAATGTTGAAGGAGAGGATGTGCGCAACTTCAATAAATTATTGAATGATGCTCAAAGAGAGTTGTACCCTGGGTGTCGTAAGTTTTCTGTTTTAAAAGAGGCGTTACACCTAAAGAAAGGAGTTACACCTAAAGAGGCGTGCCGATGGATCATTTGAAAAGCCCCCAGCATTGTACACTTTGTCCTCGGATGAAAGACATGGTTTCTGTGAGTTTTTGAAGTCAATTAAGTATCCTGATGGTTATGCGGCAAACATCTCAAAGTGTGTAAGCACAAAAGGTGATAAGTTAACAGGCCTAAAAAGTCATGATTGTCATATCCTTCTACAGCAACTGCTTCCCATTGGAATGCGTGGATATCTTCACAATGATATATGTGTCACATTATTTGAGTTGGGAAATTTCTTTCAACAGCTTTGCTCGAAAACATTGAAGGTGAAGGATTTGGAAAAATTAGAGGATCGCATAGTACTCATATTATGCAAGCTGGAGAAAATTTTCCCACCGGCGTTCTTTGATGTGATGGTCCATTTAGCCATTCATTTGCCCCATGAAGCCATTCTTGGTGGGCCTGTGCAATATCGGTGGATGTACCCCATTGAAAGGTACTTACTAGCTTCTTAATATATTAGAATAGTTAAATTGTAGCACAAACTGTATATATATTTATGAAAATGCGAGTATGTGTAATAAAAGTATTCTATTGTTTGTTTCATAGGCTACTTGGAACTCTAAAAGGGTATGTTGCAAATCGAGCCCGTCCAGAAGGTTCGATCGCAGAAGCTTATATTGTCAAGGAGTGCCTCACATTTTGCTCAATGTATCTGGGTGGGGTCGAAACTGTATTTAATCGAGAGGAATGAAATGTCGATGTTGGTGTGCATGAGTCGGGGTTAGAGGTCTTCACGCAAGATGTTCGTCCTTTTGGGCTAATGACAAGGGCTTCTGATGTGTCTCCAAAAGAACGTGAAATGGCTCATTGGTTTGTCTTGAATAATAGCCTTGAGTTGGACCATTATCTAGAGTACGTTTTTTTTTTTTTTTTTGGGTGCAATTATGTTTTCAATATAATATGTTACTTATCAATCATATGTTTGTAAATAGGCAACACAAAAACCTTTTAGAAAATCAAGGTGCATGTGACATCACGAAGAGACAGAAAGAGGAATTTCCCAAGTGGTTCAAAGAACATGTAAGATATAAGCCTAAACTTTATTGACACATAGAGAAGAATATATGTGATAGTTTGCTTGGAACATTATTGACTATAGATGGAAAGAACAAAGACACAGAAAAAGCGCGCATGGATTTGGAAGATATGAAAATAAGGAAGGAGTTACACCTAAAGAGGCGTACCGATGGATCATTTGAAAAGCCCCCAGCATTGTACACTTTGTCCTCGGATGAAAGACATGGTTTCTGTGAGTTTTTGAAGTCAATTAAGTATCCTGATGGTTATGCGGAAAACATCTCAAAGTGTGTAAGCACAAAAGGTGATAAGTTAACAGGCCTAAAAAGTCATGATTGTCATATCCTTCTACAGCGACTGCTTCCCATTGGAATGCGTGGATATCTTCACAATGATATATGTGTCACATTATTTGAGTTGGGAAATTTCTTTCAACAGCTTTGCTCGAAGACATTGAAGGTGAAGGATTTGGAAAAATTAGAGGATCGCATAGTACTCATATTATGCAAGCTGGAGAAAATTTTCCCACCGGCGTTCTTTGATGTGATGGTCCATTTAGCCATTCATTTGCCCCATGAAGCCATTCTTGGTGGGCCTGTGCAATATCGGTGGATGTACCCCATTGAAGGGTACTTACTAGCTTCTTAATATATTAGAATAGTTAAATTGTAGCACAAACTGTATGTATATTTATGAAAATGCGAGTATGTGTAATAAAAGTATTCTATTGTTTGTTTCATAGGCTACTTGGAACTCTAAAAGGGTATGTTGCAAATCGAGCCCGTCCAGAAGGTTCGATCGCAGAAGCTTATATTGTCAAGGAGTGCCTCACATTTTGCTCAATGTATCTGGGTGGGGTCGAAACTGTATTTAATCGAGATGAACGAAATGTCGATGTTCGTGTGCATGAGTCTGGGTTAGAGGTCTTCACGCAAGATGTTCGTCCTTTTGGGCTAATGACAAGGGCTTCTGATGTGTCTCCAAAAGAACGTGAAATGGCTCATTGGTTTGTCTTGAATAATAGCCTTGAGTTGGACCATTATCTAGAGTACGTTTTTTTTTTTTTTTTTTGGGTGCAATTATGTTTTCAATATAATATGTTACTTATCAATCATATGTTTGTAAATAGGCAACACAAAAACCTTTTAGAAAATCAAGGTGCATGTGACATCACGAAGAGACAGAAAGAGGAATTTCCCAAGTGGTTCAAAGAACATGTAAGATATAAGCCTAAACTTTATTGAGTTATACTTACATTAACACCAACATAATGATTGAAATTGATATGTCATTATGTAGATGAACCATTTACGAGCTCAAGGATTACCAGAAGCAACTGATGAATTGTGGTCATTAGCAAATGGTCCTTGTAGCATAGTTAATTTGTATTCAGCTTGCATGTCCAATGGTGTTCGATTTCATAGTAAGGATCGTGACAATCGTCGTAAAAGCCAAAATAGTGGGTTGGTTGTGGAAGGGGAGCATGAGGGACAAACAATTGACTTTTATGGGTACTTGAACAGAGTGTGGGAGATGCATTATATACTTGGACATCGAGTTGTTTTATTCCAATGCGAATGGTTCAACACCGGTAGCAACAGAACATTACACACTGATGCACATTTCACAAGTATTGATGTCAAAGGTCGATGGTATAAAGATGATCCATTTGTCTTACCAAGTCATGTGAAGCAAGTTTTCTATGTTGATGATACAAAGACACAAGAGTAAGCTAGAAAGATTGAAATGCAAAACAAAAGGTTTGAAGAGATTGAAAAGTTTACGAGGATGCACAAGGATAAGGCAGACATGCAGGTTGATGAAGATGATTGTTCATCAGAGGAATTTTATTGATAGCTTGCTCTGTAAGTATACTTTTCAGAATTTAATTTTCAGATCACTAAAAACACTTCACTTAATATATTTGTTAAAACAAGCTGCTACTATGATGCTCTTCAATTGGCTAGTTTGCTTTATTTGTTGATGTATTGTTCTTCTTGTTGCTGGTTGATTAAGTTAGAGTAATATAAATTGAAAATAAGTTGGAGGAATAGGCTAAAATGGTTGGTTGAGATGCAAGAAAAAGTTGAATGATGACCATAAATAAAAAATGTTAGCTTGATTGGTAACAACTACACCTAAATGGTTAAATGAGTTCTTCAACAATTCTCTTTCTTTCTTGTAATATAGTGAATAATTTTCCTTTTGTTCTTATTGTAGCAAAAACTCTCTCTTGCAATGAATCTATAAGATCATTTTTTAATTTGGTTCATTTTTTAAGTGACTCTAAGCTTCACAGCATAGTAAAAGGTAATTAGAGTAGAGCATGCATCCACATTGAAATGGACACTAATGAAAATCTTCATTGGGCTAAGCTGCCTTTTCTACTTTGTCATGACAATGTAGGACAACATTTTTGAAACTACCTTGAACAGGATTTCTAGCAGATTTAGGTGAACAAAATATTATTGGGCTATGTACTCATTTGTTGGAGAAAGTTTCGAGGGTTTGTAGACATTAAGATGAGAGATTTGGCTTGATGTTCAAATGGCTTGATGTTCATAGCAATAAGTCGACCGTGATCGTCACATAGGGAGGATCTCATTGCTGTTCTCGACCTAAATAAAGTACCACCATGGTCGACTAGGTGTGGGGTTGGTACTTCTAAATTCTCAATTTTTTTCAAGTTATTGGATCCATTTTCCCCAACTAGCCTATTGGGGCTATTACCCAAGTTCTCTTTTTTGGTGCGCTCGCGTGTGTGCTAATTTTGTTTGGTTCTTTGTTCAAGAAGTGTTTAGAAATCAGTTTTTGTGTCATTTCAACCTTGTTTTCCAATTTTGTAAAATGATTTGGTTGTATTAAATTGTATTTCTGTTAGGTATTTGTTGGCTCTTTCCTTTTGGGTTTATCCAGTGTTATACCTTGGCTCTGATTGAGTAGAAACCAGATATTTGTGTTGGTTGTTCGCTATTCCTAGTTTGTGGATATATCGGAGGCTAGTTATAAGCTTCTATTAGCAGTGAGGAAAGTTAGTTAAGTTGGTTAAGGATTCTTGCTATTGGGATTCTTGCCACTAGTATTCTTTAATGCAAAATCTTTTGGTCTGACTTGATACTGCAAGAGATCTGGTTAATTGAGCTGGCCTCGTCTTTGATCTCCACATTATCTCTATTTTGGTCTCACATTTGGATCTGCTCCCAATTTTGCTGCTCTCTAATATTTGTGTTGGTTGTTCGCTATTCCTAGTTTGTGGATATATTAGAGGCTGGAAAGCTTCTACTAGCAGTGAGGGAAGTTAGTTGAGTTGGGGAGGAAAGTTAGTTTGTGGATATATTAGAGGCTGGAAAGTTAGTTGGCTACTATCTATCTATTGGCCGTGATGGCTATTGTAGGTTTAATGCTAGTGGGTTTGTATGGTGGGATGTGTGGGTTTAGAGAGGAACTAGAGAAAAGAAAATAAGAGTTTAGGAAGGAGACTAGTAGAGTTTAGGAAGGAACTAGAGTTTAGGAATGAGAGTTTCAAAGAAATGATGATTTATTATCCCTATGTTTTTGAGATTGCTGCTATATTTTGTTTTAATCTAGGGACTAAAGATGTGGTTTAATTTCATTATCCCAATGTTAAACTCTTATTATGTTTCCTAAGAACATTATAATGCTATACTAGAAATGTCACATATCTCATAATTTAACCTTCATGTAAGTAAAAGCAGCCTCAAGTTTAAGATTTAAGTCCTTCTGATTTCAATTTAGTCATGAAAGTAAAGTTAGCACTTTGGATTACATCTCATTGCAGTGATAGCTCCTACTCAATTGATATTTGCTCTTGTTTTGGATTTCATCAGTATTCCATAATGACATAATTTGAGTTAGGTTTTGGTTGGACAACATGTGACTGGTTTACAAATTTATAGAGATATTGTTTGTAATTAGTTCATATATGCCAAGTTTAACTGGTGAATTATGTGTTACTTTTTGATTTTGGTATATTGAAATTTTGTAATTCACCGTAGGAAAATTTTCTCTCAATTTGTTCATCTATAATGTGAAACCAATGTTTTTAGACCAAGACCTTTATTATTAACATTTTAACATTATAATTTTTTTTTTCATATGTTTAACAGATTGGCAATGGATCGAATATAGTTCGGGGAGCATCAAAGGATTACATTTTGAATTTTTGGATATATTTTGTCATAGGTTTTTGTTATGAATTTGCAAGCTTGGAAGGTTTTTTGGATTGGCAATGGATGAATTATAGTTCGGGGCGCATCAAAGGCTTACATTTTGAATTTTTGGATATATTTTGTCATAGGTTTTTGTTATGAATTTGCAAGCTTGGAAGGTTTTTTGGATTGGCAATGGATGAATTATAGTTCGGGGCGCATCAAAGGCTTACATTTTGAATTTTTGGATATATTTTGTCATAGGTTTTTGTTATGAATTTGCAAGCTTGGAAGGTTTTTTGGATTGGCAATGGATGAATTATAGTTCGGGGCGCATCAAAGGCTTACATTTTGAATTTTTGGATATATTTTGTCATAGGTTTTTGTTATGAATTTGCAAGCTTGGAAGGTTTTTTGGATTGGCAATGGATGAATTATAGTTCGGGGCGCATCAAAGGCTTACATTTTGAATTTTTGGATATATTTTGTCATAGGTTTTTGTTATGAATTTGCAAGCTTGGAAGGTTTTTTGGATTGGCAATGGATGAATTATAGTTCGGGGCGCATCAAAGGCTTACATTTTGAATTTTTGGATATATTTTGTCATAGGTTTTTGTTATGAATTTGCAAGCTTGGAAGGTTTGGTGACCAAAAAATAGGTCGCTAAAAGTGTTTTTTTTTGTAGTGTTATAAGCAAATTTAGGGTTTCGAACTCCACAATCTCATCTTTCGAATCTGGATTCAATCATCTCAAATGAAACACTGAAAAACCAATATGAATTTTTCCAATTCATAGAATACAGTTGACAATTTTTTGCTTATTTTCATTTAGAATCAGTGCTTCTA